TTTTCTTCCTCTCCACTGAATTTGTTTTTTTTTCTTTTTCTCTGTTTTTTCTTTACATCTCTGCATTATACTCCTTGTTGTATTTATCTGCATTTTCCTCTCTCGTATTTATTAAAAGAAGTTGTTGTGTTTGTGGTGAGAGACGAGAGTCTGCTTCTTACCTTACCTTCTCCTCTTCCTTCTTGTCTTTCTCTTTTTAGCTTTTTTCTTTTTTGTTTTTTTCGGTTTTGTTTTTGTTTTAGCTTTTTTCTTTGTTTTAGTTTTGGTCTTTTTCTTTTTGTTTTGCTTTGCTGTTTTTTTCTTCGCTTTGTCAGCAGCTTTCTTCGCTTTCTTCTCTTTCTTCTTTGCTGCTTTTGCTGCAGCCTTTTCTTTCTTTGCTGCAGCTTTTTCTTTTTTTGCTGCTGCAGCTTGTTCCTTCTTTGCTGCAGCTTTCTCTTTCTTTGCTGCTTTCTTTTCTGCCTTTGCTGCTTTCTTTTCTGCCTTTGCTGCTGCCTTGTCTGCTTTTGCTGCTGCTTTATCTTTTTTCCCTGTTTCATTTGCTTTCTTCTGGTCCCCTGCCTTTGCTTCTTTTTTATCTTTTGTTTTTGAAGCTCCCTTCTCTGCGCTCGCCCCCTTGTCTTTTGCTGCTGCTTTGTCTTTTGCTGCTGTCTTGTCTTTTGCTGCTGCCTTGTCTGCTGTTTTTTCCTTTGCTGCTGCTTTCTCTTTTTTCTGTTCTTGTTTCGCCGCTGCTTTCTCTGATTTCTTTTCTTTTGCTGCTGCTTTGTCTCCTTTTCCCTCTTTTGCTGCTGCCTTATCTCCCTTTGTCTCCTTTGCTGCTGCCTTTTCTGTTTTTTTCTCTTTCGCTTTTGCCTCTGCTTTGTCTCCTGTTTTGTCTTTCCCTGCTGCTTTTTCTTTCTTTCCTGCTTTGCCTTCGGCTTTGTTTTCTGTTTTCTTTTCTTTTTTATTTCCTTTGTCTCCCGCTGCCTTTTGTGTTGCGTCTCCTTTTGCTCCCTTTGCTGTCTGTTGATTATCTGTTTTTTGTTTGTCTCCTTTGGTTTTCTTTTTGTCTCCTTTTGCTGCTTTGTCTCCTCCTTTCCCTTTATCTGCTCCCTTGTCTGCTGCTTTGTCTCCTCCTTTGCCTCCTTTGTCTCCTCCTTTGCCTCCTCCTTTGTCTCCTCCTTTTTCTGCTGCTTTGTCTCCTCCTTTGCCTCCTTTGTCTCCTCCTTTGCCTCCTTTGTCTCCTCCCTTATCTCCTCCTTTGCCTTTTTTGTCTCCACCTTTTCCTCCTCCTTTGTCTCCGCCTTTGTCTCCTCCTTTTCCTCCTCCTTTGTCTCCTCCTTTTCCTCCTCCTTTTTCTCCTCCTTTGCCGCCTTTGTCTCCTTTGTCTCCTCCTTTGCTGCCTTTGTCTCCTCCCTTTCCCCCTTTATCTCCTCCTTTGTCTCCTCCCTTTCCCCCTTTATCTCCTCCTTTGTCTCCTTTGCTTCCTTTGTCTCCTTTTGCTCCTTTATCTCCTCCTTTATCTCCTTTGCCTCCTTTGTCTCCTTTGCCTCCTTTGTCTGCTGCTTTTTCTTCTTTCTTTTTATCTTTTTTCTGTTTCTTTTCGTTTTTATTTTGGCTGTCTCCTCCCCCTTTATCCCCTTTACCAGATTTATCTTTGCCTTTTGCTTCTCCTCCCTCTTTTCCTTTTTTTGTTTTTTCTTTGCCTTTCTCTTTTCCTTCTCCTTTTGCTTGTTTTTCTTTGGGTCTGGCTCCTTCTTTCAGTGCTTTCTGTTCATCTTTCTGTTTTTTTTCCTGTTCTTTTGCATCTTTTTCTTTTTGTTTTGCTTCTTTCTCTGCCATTTTCTCTTCTTTTCTTCTTTTTTTCTCTTCCTTCTCTGCTCTCTTTGCCTCTTTCTCTTCTCTCTTCCTTTCTTTCTCCTCCATTTCTCTTCTCCACTTTGCATCCTCTTTAGCTGCCTCCTTGGCGTACTTCCTTGAATACTCATCATAGTGTTCATCATAAGGGGTAGTTCCGCTCCCGTAGCCACCTCCATACATCCCCCCATAAGCCCCCCCATACCCTGCTCCATAGGGGGCTCCATAGGCAGCCCCGGCGTAGCCCGTTCCATAGCCAGCCCCATAGGCCCCGCCATAGGGGCTCCCATAGGCCCCCCCATACATTCCGTGTGTTGAATAGGGGTCGTGGTATGCTGCCCCTGCTCCGTATCCACTGTACCCCGCACCCATATACCCCCCCATACTGCCTGCGCCGTATCCGCCCGGCATGTAACCCATATCGCCGTAGCCGCCTACTGCTCCTGCTGTGCCAGACTCAAAGGGGTCTACAGTACCCCCCATCGCTCCCTCTTCATCATACTCCATCTCTGGCTCCTCATCAGGGTAGGGGCTGAGGCTCGTGGACTCAGCTGCAGGAGCCTCAGGTGGAATGTCTGGCTTGTAGTCTCCAGGGCTGTACTCCGTTGCCGCCACTGCCTCAGCCTGCGCTCTCGCATCGGTGCTACTCGGCTGCTGCTGCTGCTGCTGTTGCTGCTGTTGTTGCTGCTGCTGCTGCTGTGAGGGAGGCGGAGTTGATGGCTTTTTGGGGGGCGGCAGCATCAGTTTACCATATCCTTCTGGTAACAGTTCGGCTGCTGGGTATATTGATTTCTGTTCAGCAGGATCCATTTGTACGAACGCAGCAGCAGACTCAGCAGCAGCAGAAGCAAGATCTGCAGCATGCAAGGAGGAGGTGACCCCGCCGCCTCTCTCTTCATCCCTCAAAGCAAAAAATAATTTATCTTTAAGCACAGGGTCACCCCCATAATACCCCGATAGGTTGCTACTCTCCACTCGATCGCCATGCCGCGATATCGATGCCAAACGATTCAGGTGAAATGGCACAGAGGCAGCAGCAGCAGCAGCTGCTGCTGCTGATGATGATGCTGATGCATCTGCAGCAGAAGCCTGCTGACTGCCCGTCTGCTGCTGCGCCTGTGCTGCATGGCGAGGAGACGAAGACGGGGCGGGTGCCGTTCTGAAGGCGGCATTGGCACTGCGGAGAGATGAGGGAAGAATCAGAGGGGGGGGAGTTTGGGGTTTGCTGTCGTGTTGAGAATGCACGGCTAAAGGCCCATTTGCTGCTGCTGCTGCTGCTGCTGTTGCAGGGGCGGAGGAGGAGGAGTTGCGCTCGGGCTGCAGAATGCGGCGAATACGCCGGCTGACGTTCTGGCCAACGGGGCCTAAAAGGCGCAGACAACAGCAGGAGACAGAGAAGCTGCTGCAGCTGCAAGCGTGAAAGGCAGCTAGGTGTTGCTGCAGCAGCAGCAGCACGTTAGAGAAGGCAGCACTGTCGTGCACAGACAGAAACTTGAACGAACAGGGAGAAGCCCCGCACAACACTCAGATACACACATGAAACGGCAACTGCATGCAAACACGAAGGGGACGGGATGAAGCGGACAGCGAGAACTCACTGTGGAGGCCGGCATTGTCTACTGCTGCAGGCGGCAGTAACGCGGCAGAGGAGGCGAAGGGGGAAGAAGAAAAGAAGAAGGAAATGAAAAGACCAAAGAGTAACGCTGGCTTCAAGGAGATATAAACCCTTGTGCGTGGTTTTTGCAACTTTTCCTCTCGGTGCTGTTTCTTAGGAGCTGCTCTGGAGGGGAGGGTCGTCACCGCTGCAGCAGAGNCAACTTTTCCTCTCGGTGCTGTTTCTTAGGAGCTGCTCTGGAGGGGAGGGTCGTCACCGCTGCAGCAGAGAAGAGGCTGTGTGCCAGGGTGTTTTCCCCCATGAGTCAGGGAATGCTACAAATTGTTCAAATTTGCTTCATTTGCATTTAGGCTCGTAAAAGGAAAAGAAGATCAGGGCAAAGAAGGACCGGTTGCAGTCATCGACACGAAGACGAAATCTGCACATCCTCGTGCGTCCTTCCGCCTAGAAAAAAGGGGAAGAAAAGCGTAAACCCGCTTTTATCGCCTCAATATTCCATGAAAAATATATTGGAAGTAATTCAAAACAAACAAATTACCAATGCAACCCATCGACAACACGCGCACGCAGCCACCCGCCGCCGACTCCGGCGGGGGCCCGCCGCTCGTACGAACGCTGCGGATCTGAAGCGAGGCAAATAATAGTTTTATCCCTTTTCTTTCGCCTACCAAGATATAAAATATAAAGTTTTTTAAATTTTAGAATATTAATTTATCTACGCAACCGCTAAGAAACCGCTTCACTGCCTCGCTGCTCCACCGTCGTCGGCTCGATGCGCAGGCAGCGGCACCAGTGCTATACGGTATTCAGTGAAATCTATTACTTTTGCTCTCTTTTAACAAAAATGCAAAACAAATCAACAAAAATAAAAACCGTTTTTGAGTAAACAAAAAATAAAAGCCACAGCAAAAGACAGAAAAATAAGGATCTAGGCGGTGGACTGGAGCGGTTCAACTGCACACAAACACCAATGGTGATAGTCTGTTGCTGCCTATACAGCATTCCCTCGATAGAAGATTATATTTTAGAGAATACAGTAATGGCTATTTATTCGCCTCAAACGCACGAATTAATCTTCTCCCCTCCCCCTGCCTTCGCTGCAAGGTCTGCAAAAGGAGGCGGCGTATACACTGAGATCGGCGCGAACCTGACTTTGAATATTTTGTCTATTGTTTCATTTTTTGTTCTTTGTTGTTTCCTGTTTGAGTCAACGGCTATCTATGTAGCCACTGGGCTAGTGACGAGTGGTGTAGGCTGTCAGTATGGAAACCCAGGCAATCAG